TACACCACAATTCCAAGTGTGTGGCCTATACACATTTTCTTCTGATACTCTGCACATTTTGCTCTCAAAGTACTTCCAGTCACAGGAAATCAACACATAACACAGGGCAGGTATGATGGAACTGCTCCTCAGGTAAGTGAGATCCTATATAGCTGACAGGGGAAGGATAAAACAGAATCACACAGAAGCTTCTTTCTGGAAAACTGACATAATGCCAATCTAAAGGTACTGATTGGGTTATGAGACATAAAGGGGTGAGGCTCAGTGTTGAGGGGCTTTCCTAGGTTGTGGAAGACCCTGAAACACAATAAAATTTAAATTCACTGCCAGGCACCATGGCTTATGACTACAATCCTAGATACTCAGGATCGCGGTTCAAAGCCAACCAGGGAAGGAAAAGTCCATGAAACTCTTATCTCCAATTAACCACCAGAAAACCAGAAGTGGCACCAAGGCTCAAGTGGTAGAGTACTAGCTCTTCAGCTAGTACTTGAGCTCTTCAGTTCAAGGACAGCGCCCAGGCCCTGAGGTCAAGTCCCAGGACTTACAACGTAATTAATTAATTAATTTTTCCCCACAGCCCCACAGCCCCCAATCCCACAGTTACCCAATAGAACATGACCAAAAGCCAAACTGGAAGCACAGCAAAGACTCAGAAACCTGGGTAGGGGCCTATGGTCACCAAAGTTGTTCTGATAGGCACCAACTTACCAAGCAGGAAGGGATAGGTTGCCCTTTTTCACATGCCTTCACCTCCTTCTCCAGGCCCCAGGATGGATATGAAAGTATAGATGAAAACTTGATACAGACTTAGAGAAAAGGTAGCAGCCTGGGCAAGGTATGAGTTCACAAGAGCATGTTCTGATGGGATCTGTCCAGACCATCCTGCATTGGTCCATACACCATGACCCTATATTCACGATTCCAAGCTTCCAGGCTCTCGGACTTTTATCCTGACACTCTGCATGTTTTCTTCTCAAAGTACCTACAGTCTGAGGAAGACAACATGCATCAAAGTCTGGATAAAAAGTGCCAGGGATAAGAGCTGAAGTGCTTGCCTAGCTTGTGGGAGGCCACGGGACACAATACCACCAGAAGTCACCAAAAATATATGAAAATACTTTTGTATGCCTAATAAAATGTATATCAAACCTATATGATGAAAACCAAAATCTTTTTGCACTGGTCCTGTGGCTTGAACTTAGGGCCTATTATTGGAGTTAAGGAGCTTCAAGGATGTTTCTACCTGGGCTGGGTTCAAACTGCAATCCTCAGATCTTCACCTCCTGAGTAGCTAGGAAATTAGGCAGGAACAACTGAGACCCAGCAAATACATTTTCCACAGACCCCTCACACCCTCGTCCTCTGTGTTCTCCAAAGCAAGATTTGCTCAGGTCCACCCAGCCCATGCTACATTAGGCCGCACACCCAGATCCGACACTCACCACTCCAAGCTTCTGAACTCGTCCCATTTTCTCATTGCAGCACCTGAAGTCAAGGGCAGCCTCTGTGGAACAAAGGGTCAGCATCCTGCGGCCTCTCCGCTGCTGAGTGGGATCTGGAGTGTGGCTGAGAAGAAAAAGAGAAAGCCGTCCCGACCACGCTGTCTGCTCCCACCTTCTGCTTCCCACCCAGCTCCTGAGCAGACGGATCTCAGGCCGGCCTGAGGCCGTGATGGTTTACTCCTAATAACGCTGCCAGTGAGAGCTTCCCCCAGGCACAGAGAAAAATAACAAAGGAGTTTGATGAGCAGGTCTGCCCGTCCTTACCGGGAGCCGCGGTGGCCACGAGGGCCGAGCTTTTTTTCCTTTTCCCTTCCTTTCCTTTTGCCAGCCACAGATTTCCGCCGGCCTCTCCGCTCTCCGCCAGCCTCTCTGCTCTCCTCTCTCCGCTCTGCTCTCCTCTCTCCGCTCTCCTCTCCGCTCTCCGCTCTCCTCTCCGCTCTCCTCTCCTCTCTCCGCCATCCTCTCCTCTCCGCTCTCTTCTCCGCCATCCTCTCCTCTCTCCGCCATCCTCTCCGCTCTCCGCTCTCTTCTCCGCCATCCTCTCCTCTCTCCGCCAGTCTCTCCTCTCCTCTCTCCGCTCTCCTCTACTCTCTCCGCTCTCCGCTCTCTGCTCTCCTCTCCGCCATCCTCTCCGCTCTCCGCTCTCTTCTCCGCCATCCTCTCCTCTCTCCGCCAGTCTCTCCTCTCCTCTCTCCGCTCTCCTCTCCTCTCCTCTCTCCGCTCTCCTCTCCTCTCCTCTCTCCGCTGGCCTCTCCTCTCTCTTCTGGCCTCTCCTCTCTCCGCTCTCTTCTCCGCCATCCTCTCCTCTCTCCGCTCTCCTCTCCTCTCTCCGCCAGTCTCTCCTCTCCTCTCTCCGCTCTCCTCTCCTCTCTCCGCCAGTCTCTCCTCTCCTCTCCCCGCTCCCCTCTCCTCTCTCCGCTGGCCTCTCCTCTCTCCGCTCTCCTCTCTCCGCTCTCCGCTCTCCTCTACGCTCTCCTCTACTCTCTCCGCTCTCCGCTCTCTTCTCCGCCATCCTCTCCTCTCTCCGCTCTCCTCTCCTCTCTCCGCTGGCCTCTCCTCTCTCCGCTGGCCTCTCCTCTCTCCGCTCTCCTCTCCTCTCCTCGCTCCCCTCTCCGCTCTCCTCTCCTCTCCTCTCTCCGCTCTCTTCTCCGCCATCCTCTCCTCTCTCCGCTCTCCTCTCCTCTCTCCGCCAGTCTCTCCTCTCCTCTCTCCGCTCTCCTCTCCTCTCTCCGCCAGTCTCTCCTCTCCTCTCCCCGCTCCCCTCTCCTCTCTCCGCTGGCCTCTCCTCTCTCCGCTCTCCTCTCTCCGCTCTCCGCTCTCCTCTCCGCTCTCCTCTCCTCTCTCCGCTCTCCGCTCTCTGCTCTCCTCTCCGCCATCCTCTCCGCTCTCCGCTCTCTTCTCCGCCATCCTCTCCTCTCTCCACCATCCTCTCCGCTCTCCGCTCTCTTCTCCGCCATCCTCTCCTCTCTCCGCCAGTCTCTCCTCTCCTCTCTCCGCTCTCCTCTCCTCTCTCCGCCAGTCTCTCCTCTCCCCTCTCCGCCAGTCTCTCCTCTCTCCGCTGGCCTCTCCTCTCTCCGCTGGCCTCTCCTCTCTCCGCTGGCCTCTCCTCTCTCCGCTGGCCTCTCCTCTCTCCGCTCTCCTCTCTCCGCTCTCCGCTCTCCTCTCTCCGCTCTCCTCTCTCCGCTCTCCTCTCTCCGCTCCCCTCTCCTCTCTCCGCTGGCCTCTCCTCTCTCCGCTCTCCTCTCTCCGCTCTCCGCTCTCCGCTCTCCTCTCCTCTCTCCGCTCTCCTCTCTCCGCTCTCCTCTCCTCTCCTCTCTCCGCTCTCCTCTCCGCTCTCCGCAGGCCCCGCCCGCCCCAGCAGCGTCGCGCCCCCGCGGGCCTCCCAGCGCCCCTCCCCCGCCTCTCATTTCGCTGCTCCTCCCGCAAACCCCGCCCCTGCACCACTGCTTTCTAGCTCTTGCTCCACCCTCTCCTGCTCTGCCCCCACAAGCCCCACCCCTGCACCGCTCACTTCCGTGTCCTTGCCTCACCCCCTCAGGCTCTGCCCCTCCCACAAAAACAGCCGGTGCAGTGAGTGCTGGTTCCCGCCAGAGGACGCTCCGCATGGTCCTCCTCAGGACCCAGGGTACAGTGAGAGTTGCTTCCCACCAGAAGGCACTAGGTGCGCACTGTCCTCCACAGGACCCCCCCCCACCTCCCACAAGCCCTGCCCTTGCGCCGCTCAGTCCCTCGGCCTTGCCCCGCCCCTCACACTCTGGCCCCTCCCACAGCCCCTCAAGCTGCAGCCCACCCACCACAGCCCGCCTTTCCGGGTCCGCATGTGGCCCAGCTCCAGGCAGCCCTGGCTCCGCCCCTTCCCGCCCGGAGAGGAGGCTGCGCACCGAGACCCCTTCCCGCCCGGAGAGGAGGCTGCGCACCGGGACCCCTCCCCACCCGCAGAGGGAGCTGTGGACCGGGACCCCTTCCCACCTGCGCACCGGGACCCCTTCCCACCTGCGCACCGGGACCCCTTCCCACCTGCGCACCCGGACCCCTTCCCATCTGCGCACCGGGACCCCTTCCCACCCGGAGAGGGGGCTGCGCACCAGGACCCCTTCCCACCCCAGAGGAGGCTGCGCACCGGGACCCCTTCCAACCTGCGCACCAGGACCCCTTCCCACCTGCACCAGGACCCCTTCCCACCTGCGCACCGGGACCCCTTCCCACCCGGAGAGGGGGCTGCGGACTGGGATCCCTTCCCACCCGGAGAGGGGGCTGCGGACCGGGACCCCTTCCCACCCGGAGAGGGGGCTGCGGACCGGGACCCCTTCCCACCCGGAGAGGGGGCTGCGGACCGGGATCCCTTCCCACCCGGAGAGGGGGCTGCGGACCGGGATCCCTTCCCACCCGGAGAGGGGGCTGCGGACCGGGACTTTGGTGGTCTGCTTTGGGCCTTGGACGGGGTCTGGGGTCTGCGCAGTCGGGCGGGTGGGTGGACCCGTGGTCCCTGCGGGCCACTGCCCCGAGGGGAGCGGCCCCGTCTGCGGGGAACGGCCGGACACCCGCAGCCCTCCCGACGGCTTGCTGGACAGGCGAGTGGCGGGATGGTGCACTGGACGCCATGGTGGGCTCGGGCTCGGGGCTCGGGGCTCCGGGCTCGGGCTCGGGGCTCGGGGCTCGGGTTCGGGCTCGGGGTCGGGGTCGGGGCTCGGGCTCGGGGCTCGGGGCTCGGGGCTCGGGGCTCGGGCTCAGGGCTCGGGGCTCGGGCTCGGGGTCAGGGCTCGGGGTCGGGGCTCGGGGTCGGGGTCGGGGCTCGGGGCTCGGGCTCGGGGTCGGGGCTCGGGCTCGGGGTCGGGGTCGGGGTCGGGGCTCGGGCTCGGGGTTGGGGCTCGGGCTCGGGCTCGGGGCTCGGGGTCGGGGCTTGGGCTCGGGGTCGGGGCTCGGGCTCGGGCTCGGGGTCGGGGCTCGGGGTCGGGGCTCGGGGTCGGGGTCGGGGCTCGGGGTCGGGGTCGGGGCTCAGGGTCGGGATCGGGGCTCGGGGTCGGGGCTCTGGGTCGGGGCTCGGGGTCGGGGCTCGGGGCTCGGGGCTCGGGGCTTGGGGCTTGGGGCGGGCTCGGGCTCGGGGCTCGGGGTCAGGGTCGGGGCTCGGGGTCGGGGTCGGGGCTCAGGGTCGGGCTCGGGGCTCGGGGTCGAGGCTCTGGGTCGGGGTCGGGGCTCGGGCTCGGGGCTCCGGGCTCGGGGTCGGGGCTCGGGGTCGGGGTCGGGCTCGGGGCTCGGGGCTCGGGGTCGGGGCTCGGGCTCGGGGCTCAGGGCTCGGGGTGGGGGCTCGGGGCTCGAGGTCGGGGTCGGGCTCGGGGCTCGGGGCTCGGGGTGGGGGCTCGGGGCTCGGGGCTCGGGGTCGGGGTCGGGGTCGGGCTCGGGCTCGGGGCTCGGGGCTCGGGGTCGGGGCTCGGGCTCGGGCTCGGGCTCGGGGTCGGGGCTCGGGGTCGGGGCTCGGGGTCGGGGTCGGGGCTCAGGGTCGGGCTCGGGGCTCGGGGTCGGGGCTCGGGGTCGGGGCTCGGGGCTCGGGGCTCAGGGCTCGGGGTCGGGGCTCGGGGCTCGGGGTCGGGGCTCGGGGCTCGGGGTCGGGGCTCAGGGTCGGGGCTCGGGGCTCAGGGCTCGGGGTCGGGGCTCGGGGTCGGGGTCGGGGCTCGGGCTCGGGGCTCGGGCTCAGGGTCGGGGCTCCGGGGCTCGGGCTCGGGGCAGGCTCGGGGTCGGGGCTCGGGGTCGGGGCTCGGGGTCGGGGTCGGGGTCGGGGCAGGATCGGGGTCGGGGATCGGGGCTCGGGCTCGGGGTCGGGCTCGGGGCTCGGGCTCGGGGTCGGGGCTCGGGGTCGGGGTCGGGGTCGGGGTCGGGGTCGGGGTTCGGGGGTCGGGGCTCGGGCTCGGGCTCGGGGTCGGGGTCGGGGCTCGGGGTCGGGGTCGGGGCTCGGGGCTCGGGGTCGGGGCTCGGGGTCGGGGTCGGGGTCGGGGTCGGGGCTCGGGCTCGGGGTCGGGGCTCGGGCTCGGGGTCGGGGCTCGGGGCGGGCTCGGGGTCGGGGCTCAGGGCTCGGGGCTCGGGCTCGGGGCTCGGGCTCGGGCTCGGGGTCGGGCTCGGGGTCGGGGCTCGGGGTCGGGGCTTGGGGTCGGGGTCGGGGCTCGGGGTCGGGGTCGGGGCTCGGGGTCGGGCTCGGGGCTCGGGGTCGGGGCTCTGGGTCGGGGCTCGGGGTCGGGGCTCGGGGCTCGGGGCTCGGGGCTCGGGGCTTGGGGCGGGCTCGGGCTCGGGGCTCGGGGCTCGGGGTCAGGGCTCGGGGTCGGGGTCGGGGCTCAGGGTCGGGCTCGGGGCTCGGGGTCGGGGCTCTGGGTCGGGGTCGGGGCTCGGGCTCGGGGCTCGGGGTCGGGGTCGGGGCTCGGGGTCGGGCTCGGGGCTCGGGGTTGGGGCTCGGGGTCGGGGCTCGGGGCTCGGGGCTCGGGGTCGGGGCTCGGGGTCAGGGTCGGGCTCGGGGCTCGGGGTCGGGGCTCGGGGTCGGGGTCGGGGCTCGGGGCTCGGGGTCGGGGTCGGGCTCGGGGCTCGGGGCTCGGGGTGGGGGCTCGGGGCTCGGGGTCGGGGCTCGGGGTCGGGGCTCGGGGTCGGGGCTCGGGGCTCGGGGCTCGGGCTCGGGGCTCGGGGTCGGGGCTCGGGGTCGGGGTCGGGGCTCAGGGTCGGGCTCGGGGCTCGGGGTTGGGGCTCGGGGTCGGGGCTCGGGGCTCGGGGCTCGGGGTCGGGGCTCGGGGTCGGGGCTCGGGGTCGGGGCTCGGGGTCGGGGCTCGGGCTCGGGGCTCGGGGTCGGGCTCGGGCTCGGGGCTCGGGCTCGGGGTCGGGGTCGGGGCTCGGGGCTCGGGCTCGGGGTCGGGGTCGGGGTCGGGCTCGGGGCTCGGGGTCGGGCTCGGGGTCGGGGCTCGGGGCTCGGGGGGTCGGGCTCGGGCTCAGGCTCGGGGCTCGGGGCTCGGGGCTCGGGGCTCGGGGTCGGGGGTCGGGGCTCGGTGTCGGGGCTCGGGGCTCGGGGTCGGGGCTCGGGGTCGGGGCTCGGGGTCGGGGCTCGGGCTCGGGGTCGGGGCTCGGGGCTCGGGGCTCGGGGTCGGGGCTCGGGGCTCGGGGTCGGGGCTCGGGGTCGGGGTCGGGGTCGGGGCTCGGGGTCGGAGCTCGGGGTCGGGGTCGGGGCTCGGGGTCGGAGCTCGGGGTCGGGGTCGGGGCTCGGGGTCGGGGCTCGGGGTCGGGGCTCGGAGTCGGGGCTCTGGGTCGGGGTCGGGGCTCTGGGTCGGGGTCGGGCTCTGGGCTCGGGGTCGGGCTCTGGGCTCGGGGTCGGGACTCGGGATCGGGGTCGGGGCTCGGGGTCGGGGCTCAGGGTCGGGGCTCGGAGTCGGGGCTCGGGGTCGGGGCTCGGGGTCGGGGCTCGGGGTCGGGGCTCGGGGTCGGGGCTCGGAGTCGGGGCTCTGGGTCGGGGTCGGGGCTCTGGGTCGGGGTCGGGCTCTGGGCTCGGGGTCGGGCTCTGGGCTCGGGGTCGGGACTCGGGATCGGGGTCGGGGCTCGGGGTCGGGGTCGGGGCTCGGGGTCGGGGCTCGGGGTCGGGGCTCGGGGCTCGGGGTCGGGGCTCTGGGTCGGGGCTCGGGGTCGGGGTCGGGCTCGGGGCTCGGGGCTCGGGGTCGGGGCTCGGAGCTCGGGCTCGGGGCTCGGGGCTCTGGGTCGGGGCTCTGGGTCGGGGCTCGGGGTCGGGGCTCGGGGTCGGGGCTCGGGCTCGGGGTCGGGGTCGGGGCTCGGGGTCGGGGCTCGGGGTCGGGGCTCGGGGTCGGGGCTCGGGCTCGGGGTCGGGGTCGGGGTCGGGGCTCGGGGCCCGGCCGGCGTCGTTGCGGGCCTCGAGCTCCGCTTCCCGCGCGGGTGGGTGAAGGCGGCCGCAGCGGGGCCTGGCTACACACCGGACTTGCCGAGTACCGAGAGGCGAGGACAGTGCCTCCGACCTGATCCCGGCCGCTCGGAAACGGGATCACAGTCTGGGACTGATCTGGGCACGAGTCTGCCAGCTCCATCTCAGCCAGGTCTGGAGGCGGCCCCATGCTGCTGTTCCGGCTGAGCGAGAACACAGCGGCTGGTCACTCCAGTAACCCGGGAAGCACACGCAGGATCACAGTCCACACTGTCCTAAAGCAAAACCCGCTAACACAAAGGAATGGTACAGCACCTGCCTAGCCGTTCTGTCAAACCTCTGTGCTACCAAAGGCAGAACTGATGCTGACACAAGAGGCCTGACTAGGGGCTGGGAAGGTGGCTCAGTGGCAGAGCGCTTGCCTTGCATGCCTGAGGCCCTGGGTTCGATTCCTCAGCACCACATAAGCAAAGATTCCTCAGCACCACATAAGCAAAAAGAAAAAAGCCGGAAGTGGCGCTGTGGCTCAAGTGGTAGAGCGCTAGCCTTGAGCTGAAGAGCTGAGGACAGCGCCCAGGCCCAGAGTTCAGGCCCCATGACCAGACCCCCCCCCCCAAAAAAAAGAGACATTAGTCAAGTTAACACATGGAGACCAAGGTGTGAGGCTGTCCTATCAAAAAAGGAACCAAGGTGTGGGCCGTCCGATCAGCAAAGGGACCAGTGCCTCAGAATGGTGACCTAGCTAGACAAGAGGAGGCCCATCAAGTGGATGGTTCCGTTTCAAAAGCAGAAACTGGATAGGCACCAGTGGCAGGACGTAATCCTGGCTACTGCTCAAGAGGCTGCAATCTGAAGACACAGTTCAAAGCCAACCATGGCGGGAAAGCCCGCGAGAGGCCTATCTAATCACCAGAAAGCTGGAAGTGGCGCTGTGGCTCAAAGTGGTCAGAGTGGCAGATTGCTAGTCTTTTTTTTTGGGGGGGGGGGGGTCAGTCGTGGGGCCTGAACTCTGGGCCTGGGCGCTGTCCCTCAGCTCTTCAGCTCAAGGCTAGCACTCTACCACTTGAGCCACAGCGCCACTTCCGGCTTTTTTCTTTTTGCTCATGTGGTGCTGAAGAATCGAACCCAGGGCCTCATGCATGCAAGGCAAGCGCTGTACCACTGAGCCACCTTCCCAGCTCCAAATTGCTAGTCTTAAGCAAAAGAAGCTCAGAAACAGAGCCCAGGCCGTCAGTTCAAGCCCCCATGACTGACAAAAAGAAGATGCAGATTTTATATATATGTTGGTCCTGGGGCTTGAATTCTGGGCCTGGGCACTGTCCCTGAACTTTGTTGGCTCCAGGCTAGCACTCTACCACTAGAACCACAATGCCACTTCCAGCTTTTTTGGAGTACTTTATTGCAGATAAGTGTCTCACACACTTTCCTTCCCAGGCTGTCTTTGAACCACAATCCTCAGATCTTAGCCTCCTGAGTAACTAGGATTACAGGTGTGAGCCAGTGGCTCCTGCTGCATGTTATATTTTTCAGTAATGTCTGCCTTCATTGTGTCCAGATGACTAGGATAGTTCCACATGACCTCAGATAAAACAGCTAATTGGGCAATATGCTAAGCACCTTGGGTCTGCTTTTCATTCATTTTTTTCTTTGGATCTTTGCTTCACTGTAACTTTCTACTTCATTTATGGGTTTGGGTGTGGTTTTTTCCCCTAATATACATGCATTTTGGATTATTGTGAGGTGTTTCTTTTCTGTTTCTGGTTTTTGAGGTTATTGATTGAGTTGATTCCATTCCTTTTTAAAAACCATTTGTTCGGAGGGGGTAAGTTTTGTGTGGATATGTTTGCATATATTTGGAGAGATGGGAAATATGCTGCTGCAATGGATGGAGAACAAGAAGGCTGTCTATCCCTGAGTTACACACACACACACACACACACACACACACACACTGCATCAGTTGATTTTCAAAACCATTATTTTTTTTGCTGGGAGGGGGCACATGGAAACATGCCAGAGATGGGACCCAGGGCATTGCTCTAAAGGAGTCTCTGCCTGAGTTATTTAAGTTTGTCAGCCTTTGGTAGTTTTGATTGTTGTCATTGTTTGTTCTGGGAAGGTTTGTAGTTGGTTGCCTAATTCGTTATTTTGTTTGCTTTTTGGTTGAGACAAGATATGACTTTGTAACAAAGCTGATCTCAACCACAACATTCTTGCAAGTTTTAGAATTACAGGGAAAAAGTCGGGCACCCATGGCTCATACCTGTAATCCTAGCTTCTCAAGATGCTAGATCTGAGGATGGCAGTTCAAAGCCAGCCCAGGCAGGAACATCCATGAGACGCTTATTTCCAATTAACCACCAGAAAATTGGAAGTGGTGCTGTGGCTCAAGTGGTTGAGCTGAAGAGCACAGGGACAGCTCCAAGGCTCAGAGTTCAAGACCGACAACTGACCAAAAAAATAAAAATTACAGAAAAAAATACCACCACAACTGACTGCATGTTGGATACTTTGTCACAGGCTTCATAGTTCCTTATGCATCCACAGAAAGACCCTGATTATCTCTAAGATAGCACAATATCCCTTTGAATATCCTCACTATCTCTGGAATGCAAAGCTAGATGTCCTATCAAACACAAAACAGAGGCTAAAATCAGGTGTTTGGAAACTTAAGACAGTTTTTCCCAGTGCCCTGAAATCAGAGATGCTAGTACTTCTGGTCCAGCATTTGGATGCTTGGTACTGCTTTTTATATCAATGCATTCCTACCTTGACCTAGGTTTGGTACCTGCAACAAACCTTCAAGGAGCCAAGGATCTTGGAACAATTTTGAATGATACTCTTAATACTTGCAGAAACTGAACACTAGATGGCAGCTGCTCCTCATAACATAGTCATTAGAGGTAGATGAAATGAACAGTGAGTTTCACAAGTCAAATGGTGCCAGTACTCCAGAGTGCTCTATAGGAAACATTGATGACAATTTTACTTACTAATGACTAGGAAAAGAAAACATGATACACAAGTTCTGAATGGAAAAACTGTAGCTGAAAAATACAATAAAGAAAATGTCACATACTGAGTATCACATGTACAGAGGTAAAGGCATTTCACCTTAGGGAAAAGGTTTATTTATTATTGCTTTGGTTTGTTTGGTTTAATTGGGTTTTGAGGCAGACAGATAAAACCATGTCTGTAGTTTCCATAGCCACTTGTAAGACTGGCCCACAAATGCACCCTGCATGAGGAGGGCTCTAAGACCCCTTCAAACTCTCCACCTCATGATCATCAAAAAGTGAAAAAAGTAATGATAGCCAGACAGTGGCTCATACTGTAATCCTAGCTACTAAGGAGGTAGATACTTTCAGGATCATGAGTTGAACACAGCCTGGGCAGGAAATTAGACAACCCTGAAGTGGACCTGTGGCTCCACCTCTGCCTTGAGCAAAAAGCTAAGGACAGCATCCAGGCCATGTATTCAAGACCCAATACAGAGGAGGGAAGGGAAGAGGGGGATGAAGAGGAGGGGGGAGGAGAGGGGGAAGGGAGTAGGAAGAGGAGGAGGAGGGAGGAGGAGAGGAGGGGGAGGAGAGGAGGAAGAAGGGGAGGAGAGGAGGAAGAAGGAGAGGAGGAGGAGGAAGGGGGAGCAGGAAGAAGAAGGGGAGGAGAGGGAAGAAGGAGAGGAAGAGGAGGAGGAGAGGAGGAGGAGGGGGAGGAGGAAAGGAAGAGGAGAGGGGGAGGGGGAGGAGGAGGGAGGGAGGAGAGGAGGAGGAGAGGAGGAAAGGATGTGGGGAGGAGGAAAAGGAGGAGGTGGCAAATCCTTTCACCATTAACTGGAAATTTATATAAACTCTACATTCAAGTACTTTTCTCTTTCCAGGTATTTAGGGTTGGGGTTAGGGTTGGAGGAGCCAAAAAGAGGCCTCATTCCAATACCAACAGTAATCACTATGCAAAATAAAAGGAATTTCCCCCTAACAGCACAAACACAATACTGCATTTGGCTGGTAAGTAAATTCTGGAAGAAAACCTTAACCAAGACCTAAGAGACATGCACATTGGAAAGTGCTATAGGATAATTACCACTGAAAACTCCATTACAAAGGTACCTTCCTGTAAGAAGAGCTTTTTGACTCTCACTTTAACCTAAATCAACCTTTCATTGTCCCAAACACCATTCCCTGGGCTTTGAAGCTTGCTCAGGCTCACTCCCACTCTGCCTTTAATAAGCCTTTGCCTCTCTCGTTACCCATATGTGTCTCACGTGGTCTTTTGCTTGAGACAAGAGCCTGGGATGACATATGAATGAGGCTGCGGTCTGGTAACAGTCCTGGCTGTTCTCCTCTCCTGTCTCTGCATTGTGCTTGTGTTGGGAATTTAGGCTCACTGTCTTACAAACACGATGAGAATGAGCCTAGGGAAAAATACAACTCTGTATTTTAGAAGGGAAAAGAATAGTTTCTCCATATTCCTCATATCCCTTTCCCACTAATAACCAACACAATTACAGAGTTCAAATTTCCATGTCAGACAAGTAGCAAAAGCCGAAATCAATTCAGATCAACACCAAATAGTCAGAAGAGTATCTGGACAACAGAGAAAAGCAAGGGGGAAAACTACAGCAAACAGAAAGAACTCACCAAAGGTCAAACTTCAGGACCCATAGAGGCTCATTTCTCTGCCTTACCAAATAATGGGGAAAAGCAGCCTATGTTGGTTGGAGATAAGAAAGAAGTCCCTGGAATAGAAAGAATCCTAGCAACAGCATCGTACCAATTCAATCTTTCCTCTCTATCTAGGGTAATCCAGCTACAAATGGCTAGTGCTTAAAGGGTATATTTTGTCCCTTTTCTCAGGGTTACAAAATCTGTTACAGGAAATTTTAGGCCCCAGACTAAACTTCATGTGGCATGGGTTTTCCCTATAAAAATGGCTTGAAGTGCAAACTTTTCTTTGCACGATGGGCCTGTGTCATGTTATAGACCTCCTTTCTCTACCCTTCACCAATACCTGTGTTTTTATTTGGCTCATTGGGGCAAGTTGCTAGACATGACCTACGGAGCCTAAGAGTGCAGGGTTGGGCCTAAATTATTCTGTAGCCCAGAGCACTTGCCACAGGCTGGACTCCGCACATCAGATGCTGGTTCTGTCCAGCACTTACCAGGTCTCCTGACCATTATCACACTGGACACCAACCAAGTGTCCATAAAGCAGGAGGCTGTAGCTTAGGGAGCGGAAGAGGTAAGAAACAGAAGAGCCAGGCACTGGTGGCTCACGCCTGTCATCCTCGCTACTCAGGAGGCTGAGACCTGAGGATCGCAGTTCAGAGGCAGCCTGGGCAGGAAAGTCTGTGAGACTCTTATCTCCAATAAACCACTAGAAAGCCAAAAGTGGTACTGTGGCTCAAGTGGTAGAGCGCTCGCCTTGAGCTGAAGAGCTGAGGGACAGCGCCCAGGCCCAGAGTTCAAGCCCCATGACAGACCAAAAGAAAAAAGAAAAAGAAAAAAAAAAGAAACAGGAGAAGAGAGGGATGTGGACACTCCAGCCACTGCCTGTCACCCCTAATAGCTTGAAGCCTGGCCATGACTGAATGCAGTCTAAAAACACAAATGGATTACCATCAGCCCCATTATGATTTTTGTCTATTGCTTTCAACACAAGCCCATCCTCCAATGGGCACCCTCTACTGCCCCTGGATACCAAGCCCCCTTCCCCTCTCTCACCCACAACCACCCACATCTTTGTTTGCAGGTCTTCCCTGCCCAGCTGCCCAGTAAACCCAAGACATGTCCTCCATTGAGCCCCATCAACTCCCACTAGTCTGAATCCCAAGGCCCTGGTTTTATACAACAGCCCTCCTGGAGGGCTAGAGAGTTATTAATGCACTGATCTGTTGCCCAGGGGAATACATGCAGAGAACTTGCAAGAAGCAATGCATTCCCCTGCTGGGCCCTAAACAACAGAATTATTAGCTGTCCTGCTGCCCCGCAAACTGAACAGTAACTGTCATGAACAACAGGTGCCTGCAGAATCTCGTCACCTGTAAGACAGTGCTGAGAAAAAGGAACACGTGAGAGGAATAGAGACGGAGCACTGGAGGCAGCTGCACAGCAAAACTGCCAAGGAGTCAGGCCCGCGACGTGGGTCCCGCTGGGGATCTGCCACCACGCCGGTCCTGCTGGGGATCTGCCATGACGACGCCGGTCCCGCTGGGGATCTGCCACCACGCCGGTCCCGCTGGGGATCTGCCACCACGCCGGTCCCGCTGGGGATCTGCCACGGTCCCGCTGGGGATCTGCCATGGTCCCGCTGGGGATCTGCCACGACTCTGGTCCCACTGGGGACCGGAGGCCACCAAGGCCACACCCAAGACTCCGTGTCAGGCATCACTGTCCCATCAAAGACTCAGCCCCAGCAGGAGCCTCCTTCCAGCCGGTTGTGTCTCACGCGAGGGGTCACGTTATGCTTTGTTTGTATTTTTTCCTGTGGGGTGGGGGGACATCCCAAAGGAAGAAAGGTGTGTTTGGGGACTGGGGAGAACAGGAGGGAAGAGCAAGAGAAAGCAGTCAATGTCCACTCCTCTCCTTGAGATGTACTTTGTGCAAATGTTGAGGCTCTGGGCTCACATCAGATGCGTCTTTTGCCTGAACCTCTGTGAGGGTTACAGCATGGCCAGGAGCAAAGGCAGCAGTTCCACTGCACGGCAGAGGGGTTTCTGTGGAAGTGTATTGGACAGGGCCTGGGAGCCTGAGGGGGGGGGCACCTGTCCTGAGCAAGGGGCCTCCTGCTGCATGGACGCGGTCTGGTATCAAGCAAGAGGATGTGTTCTGAATGGGTGGCGTGATCCTGGCAGAGGCTAGGATTTTGAAGTCATTTTCATTCTAGAAGGAAAAAAGTCGTTCATACTTCTTATTGTTCCTCATTACAGACCACCTTAATTTCAGTTTGGTTCAATGGTCTTCTTCTAGAAGCCACATACAGAACGAAAAGAGTCCAAGGCCTCCTCTGAGACTCACCTTCTGAGGCTCACCTCCTCCTCTCTTCTGGAAAGTACAAGCCCACCCCCTCCCTCCTCCACCGGCCAGGACACACCAGCCGCCGTGTGGACCCTCCAGTTTGGGCTTGTACACATACACACACTTACCTCTGGGTTCTTTTGCCAGAGGCCCCTGGAACTTTGGGATAACTCCTGCCCAGGCTAGGATCTTAGGTGTAAGCCACCAGCACCTGGCTGAAAAGCTATCTTGAAAGATGCTCAAGAATAGAGGGGAGTAACCAGGGACCAGTGGCTCACGCCTGTCATCCTAGTTACTCAGGAGGCTGAGATCTGAGGATCACAGTTCAAAGCCAGCCCAGGCAGAAAAGCCCATGAGATTCTCATTAACCACTAGAAAACTAGCGGTGGTGCTGTGCTGCAGCCTCATGTGAGGGCTGGAGGTGTGGATGTGGGTCCTAGACACCCGGCTTCTTGTGTGCTACTGGGGACATGGTGACTAGCTTCCCTCAAGGACAGAGTAGGCCAACATATTTCCTACAGCATCAGAGATAAGGCCGAGTACCCAGCTAGGTTAGAGGTGGGGGTGGGAGGGCACTAAGCGTAAGTCAGACGTCAGGTCTAAGGAGAATGCGCGTCCAAGCCCTTTTCTCAGCCTTTGAGGAACTTGGACCTGGGGTGGGGGACCTACAGAATTTGGTATAGCATCTCTTAGCAAGACATGTGTGGCTATAACTCAACCACTGAAGCCTACAGCCTTCTTACTTCAGTGTCATCTGAGAGTCCAGCAGAGCGGTGATGTGTGTGTGTGTGTGTGTGTGTGTGTGTGTGTGTGTGTGTGTGTGTGTGTGAACAATATGAAGCTGGGTGCTGGTGACTCATGCCTGTCATCCTAGCTACTCAGGAGGCTGAGATCTGAGGATCACAGTTATAAGCCAGTCTGGGCAGGAAAGTCCATAAGACTCTTATCTTCAATTAACCACCAGAAAACCAGAAGAGGCTCTGTGGCTCAACGTGGTAGAGCACTAGCTAGCCTTGAATGAAAAAGCTCAGAAACAGCACCCAGACCCTGAGTTCAGGCCCGATGATCAAGAAAACAAAACAAAAAATACAACAGGAGGAAGGAAGGTAGGAAGGAAGGTAGGAAGGGAGGGAGGGAGGGAGGGAGGGAGGGAGGGAGGGAGGGGGAAGTCTCTTTCAGCAATTGGGATGATGGTCCTGTATGATAACCCCTACTGGTTTGCTGTGGGTGAGAAGGATATGGTTCAGTGAGGGCTGTTCAAGGTCAAGGGCAGGCAAGGGCTGGCCTTTCACCTGATTGTACTGCTACAGTTCATTTTCTCTGGGCTTCATGACTCTTTCGTGGTAGGACCCACAGACACCCCTCACTCCCAAGGATCAATCATTTGTATACCCTCTCACAGGCCCCAGGAATCCCGCCATATAACTTCCCTGCATGATCTTCTTGGGAAGGAAGGAGGGGAAGCAGGAGAAGAGGCAGAGAAGAGACATTTGGAAGAGGCAGAAGGGAAAAAGAGACGTGGATGGGAACAGGACGGTTTGGGGTGGGGGAGCAAGAGGACTACGGCCCCTGGGACAGGCTCTCCCTGGACTATCTGCCTGAGGCGTGACTGTCTTGGACTGTCACGCCTCAGTTATTGGTCAGGCACTGGTCATTAGCTTCAAAATGTGTGTGCAGACATCAATGGGGGGGGGGGGGGTTCCCAGGACTGATCATTCCAGCAGAAACTGTCACTGCTTTTGGTATGTTCCCACTGAACCCTGAGGCCCTAAAGGAAGGGGAAACCCAGCAGCAGGGAGTGGGGATGGGAGGGAAGGCGGCATCCTCTGACCTAGGGTCCTCCGAAGACTCATCTGCCTGCAGCTCTGAAACAGATTCCCCTAGTGGCTGCTGCCCATAAAATGTACAGGAGGCCATTCAGGCAGGCCTCCCTTGGCTAGGGAGAGAAGGGTTAAGCAGCTGTGGTGGTGTGAGGGCCCGAGTGGCACACTGGGGCAAACCTGGGGCAGCTGTGGGTGGGTGGCTGCCCAGACTTCCCGGACAGGCCTGCAGCGGCGCCTCGGCCTGGCGGCCGGCGGCCTCCAGGGACAGCTGCCCAGCCGCCTAGGGACAGCTCTGCTCCCCAAACAGCAACCCTCCCCACGACTGACCCAGCCCCTCTCTCCTAACAGCAACCCTCCCCACGACTGACCCAGCCCCTCTCTCCTAACAGCAACCCTCCCCACGACTGACCCAGCCCCTCTCTCCTAACAGCAACCCTCCCCACGACTGACCCAGCCCCTCTCTCCTGACAGCAACCCTCCCCACGACTGACCCAGCCCCTCTCTCCTGACAGCAACCCTCCCCACGACTGACCCAGCCCCTCTCTCCTGACAGCAACCCTCCCCACGACTGACCCAGCCCCTCTCTCCTGACAGCAACCCTCCCCACGACTGACCCAGCCCCTCTCTCCTGACAGCAACCCTCCCCACGACTGACCCAGCCCCTCTCTCCTGACAGCAACCCTCCCCACGACTGACCCAGCCCCTCTCTCCTGACAGCAACCCTCCCCACGACTGACCCAGCCCCTCTCTCCTGACAGCAACCCTCCCCACGACTGACCCAGCCCCTCTCTCCTGACAGCAACCCTCCCCACGACTGACCCAGCCCCTCTCTCCTGACAGCAGCCCTCCCCACGACTGACCCAGCCCCTCTCTCCTGACAGCAACCCTCCCCACGACTGACCCAGCCCCTCTCTCCTGACAGCAGCCCTCCCCACGACTGACCCAGCCCCTCTCTCCTGACAGCAGCCCTCCCCACGACTGACCCAGCCCCTCTCTCCTGACAGCAACCCTCCCCACGACTGACCCAGCCCCTCTCTCCTGACAGCAACCCTCCCCACGACTGACCCAGCCCCTCTCTCCTGACAGCAACCCTCCCCACGACTGACCCAGCCCCTCTCTCCTGACAGCAACCCTCCCCACGACTGACCCAGCCCCTCTCCTGTGCTTGCTACAGTGACAGCACTGTTGGCTGTTGTCTCCACTCAGTGCCTAGACAATGACTTGTCAGCCAGGCTAGAAGATGTCAGGGGAGCTGGTGTGGGGCTAAATCTATCTTACCCCATATCCACTCAGGGGATTGATTACCTGCCTACTTAGATGGAGCTGAAGAAGGGAGGTTCTGAGAGAAGAGAGGCTTCTGCTTTGATCACAGAGAGGGCTAGGGTGGCAGACCACACAGCTAAGGGGCTGGGACTTATTTAAAGCAGGAGGGTGGATTGGGTCTAAAGCGCTCTCCAGACCACAGAAACTCCACCGTGCAGGAACGAATGGGGATTTGCACCCTGTGACTTCCAGCTGCTGCTTGCTGAACACCTTGGCTGCCTTGTGGGACTAGGATCTGGAGGTAGAAGATATGCTAGCCCCCTACTTCTGTTGGCCAACAGGCAGATTTCCTAATGAAACACCAGAAGAGGCTCCAGACTCCAAAGGTGAAGTACGGGTGATCTGAAAAGAGAGACTGTGGTCAAAAACACCAAGTTAATAGGTATCCGTGGCTCACGCCGTTTCCTAGCTATTTGAGATTGGCTTAAGGCCAACCTTGGGAAGCTATGTCTCATGCTCTCCTCTGGGGCCTGGGCAGGGAGGCTTAGTCTGGTCCTTTGCCTCCCCAACTCTCATGACCTTGCCAATGACCCGAACTCCCAGCAGAGGGCTTGTCCTTCCTCCTCTTCCTTCATAGTATCCTCCCTCCACAAAAGGCAGGAGCCTGTTCCACCCTGGGTGGGGGTGGGTAGCTAGACAGTCAGCTGACCTCATCTATCACCCTGAACTGTGTTGCACGATAAAATTACTCATCCTCAGCCAGTGATAAATGAAATCATTCTTGAGGCAACCACCCTGAGTAGCAATAGCAGCTCCACACTCAGGGTCTCCAGGCGTGGGTAAGGGAAACACAGGTGAATTATGTTCATGTGCAGCCTGGCCAGAGCACGTGGGTGGATCTACATACTTGTGCTATGCACCCTTGTGGATGCACATGAGCTGGCATGGGTCGGAAGGAAGCCGGGGAAGGAGGCTGCCTTGGGAGGTGCGGTTGTGGTAGCCAGGAAGGGTGAAGAGGTTGCACTTCCAGAGAAGAGGCAAAGGAACCAGAAAAGTGGAGTGAGCCCTCAGAGCAGGTTAGGCCTAGAGCTGTGTCCAGGGAGGGAAGTAGACCACACTTGGTACACACAGATGTGTGGTAGTGAGTTGAAAGTGAGCAGGAAGAGCAGCCTTGGGAAACTTTGAGTGTCAGAATAGGCT